AGTGGAACCTGGATGAATATAATATCTGGAGTTATGGGCCTCTGCAAGAATATGTTGTCTCAACTCACCCATATTAGAAACACATAATCAACCCTGGTAGCGAAGAACACCATCTCCCCCTTGGGAGAAAACCAGAACTCTCTGTTGGTGAACTATACCCTTGAGTTCAAGTAATATCGGATCACTGTCTTGCTTTTCGTTAACTTCAACTACCAAAGAAGATTCTGCCCTATTCTGAACCTTTACACCACCATCTGATATGCTCATCAGATGAACTCCGAGGCGAGCAACTCTGTGAACATCCTTTGATGGATCCTTTCTTTCTTCCTCAATATGTGCTACACTACCTATAGATAGTCTTCTAAGGACATTTGCTACTACATTTGCCTTACCAGGATGGTAATGCACACTAATGTCATAATCCTTGAGGAACTCAAGCCATCTTCTCTGGCGAAGATTCAACTCTTTCTGGGTGAACACATACTGAAGGCTCTTATGGTCTATGAACACATCTACCTGAACACCATAAAAGTAGTGTCTCCAAATCTTGAGTGCAAACACCACTGTTGCAAACTCGAGGTCATGAGTCGGATAATTCTTCTCATGTACCTTAAGTTGTCTAGAAGCATAAGCTATAACCTTACCTCGCTGCATCAACACACAACCTAGGCCGACCATAGATGCATCACAATAGATCACATAACCATCTGAACCCTCTGGTAGAGTCAAGACATGAGTTGTAGTCAACCTAGTTTTAAATTTTGTGAAGCTTTTCTCACAATCATCTGACCATCGAAACTTGACCATCTTTTGAGTCAACCTAGTCAATGGTGAGGCTATAGATGAAAATCCTTCGACGAACCGTCTGTGATAGCCCGCTAGACCCAAGAAACTTCTGATATCTGTAGCAAAGGTAGGTCTGGGCCATTGTTTCACTGCTTCTATCTTCTGGGAATCTACTTAAATTCCATCACTAGACACAATATGCCCAAGGATGGCAACTGATTGTAACCAAAACTTGCACTTGTTAAATTTTGCAAATAACTGGCGATCTTTGAGAGTTTGCAGAACAACTCTCAAATGACTCGTATGTTGTTCCTCATTCCTAGAGTAAATGAGGATATCATTAATAAAGACGATAACAAACAAGTCCAAGTACTGCTTGAACACTATGCTCATCAAATCCATGAAAGCTGTAAGAGTATTGGTTAGTCCAAATGACATGACTACAAATTCATAATGACCATATCGAGTTCTGAAGGGTGTCTTTAGAATGTCACTATCTCTGACTTTAAGCTGATAATAACCCGATCTGAGCTCTATCTTTGAGAAATGACTAGCACCCTGAAGTTGGTCAAAATGGTCACCAATCCTGGGAATGGGATACTTATTCTTGATTCTAACCTTGTTCAACTGCCTATAGTCAATGCACATTCTGAGAGAACCATCTTTCTTCTTTACAAAGAACACTGGTACACCCCATGGCGAAATACTAGGTCTGATGAAGCCCCTATCCAGGAGGTCTTTCAACTGCTCTTTCAATTCTTTTTGCTCAGTTAGAGCTATTCTGTAAGGAGGAATAGAGATAGGCTGGGTATCTGGAAGGAGATCAATTCCAAAGTCGATTTCCCTATCGGGAGAAACTCAGGGAAGATCTTCTGGAAACACTTTTGGAAACTCATTACCCACAGGAACTGACTCAAAGATTGGGGTTTCAGAGCTTGAGTCCTTAATCTAAACTAGATGATAGAGATAACCCTTAGAGATTATCTTTCTATCCTTAAGGTAAGAAATGAATCGACACATTGGTGCTAAGCTACTACCCTTCCATTCTAAGATTGGTTCATCTGGAAACTGAAAATGAACAATCCTAGTCCTACAATCGACTAAGGCATAACAAGAATATAACCAATCCATGCCTGGAATGATATCGAAGTCTACCATTTCTAACTCTACAAGAGCTACTGAGGTGACTTTCTGGGAGACTGTGATAAGGCAATTTTTGTATACCCGTCTAGCTAAAACTGGGTCACCGACTGGAGTAGAGACTGAGAAAGGTTCTGGGAGAGTTTATGGACTAATATTGAATTTGACCGCTATAAAAAGATTTACAAAAGACAAAGTAGCCCCTGGATCTAACAATGCATAAACGTCAAGATGAAAGACTCACAACGTACCAGGGACTACATCAGGAGAATTTTCCTGATCTTGGTGAGACTAAAGAGCATACAACATGTTCTGGCGTTGTCCGCCACCTGTACCAGATGAGTTACCCTACTGAGTCGGGCTACCTGCTGGTGTTGCTAAAGTTGTAGACTGAGCTTTACCAATTTTACCTCATTAACCCTGTCTAGAAGGACAATCCCTCAACCTGTGACCAGACTGACCACACCCAAAGCATCTTTCTTTTCCTGCAAGACACTCGCCCGGATGGCTCTTACCACACTTATGGAAAGTTAGGTAGGTTTTGGTGCCTGAAATACTACCTTGAGACTTAGATCCTGATGCTCCATCTTTCTGATTATTTCGAAACTTGGAAGATGGAATATTGCCTGATAAAGGTGCTGTAGTCGAAAACTTCTGTTGAAACTGCGAGCGATTTCCACCACCTGATTTCTGTTGGGAATACTCATAGTTGCATGTTCTTGCTTTCTTACTCTCCTTAGCATGTTCCCTAAGCTTATCACTCTCAACCTGCTGAGCGTGAGTCATGAGACTAGAGATGTTCATGTCTCCCAACAACATAGAATTCCTACACTCTGTCTTCACTAAGTCTAACACTCCATACAAAAACTTATTCATCTTAGCCCTGGAATCAGCAACCATGTGAGGAGCATACCTGTAGAGTTAGTTAAACTTGAGCCCATACTCTTGGACCGTCATGTTAACCTGCGTTAAGTTCATAAATTCCGGAGATTTGCTTCTCTTAACTCTATGGGGAAAAACCTATCCAGAAAGGTTTCACTGAAACAATCCCAAGTAATAGGAGCTGCATCTGTACCCCTATTCTCCTTCCAGTGAGTATACCAGAAATGAGCTACATCTTTCAGTTGATACGATGATAACTTAACTCGATCATTCCCAGTTAACTGCATCACTTCAAAAATCTTCTTGACCTCATCAATGAAGTTTTGGGGATCTTCTCCAACTTGCGATCCTAAGAACTCTAGTGGATTCATCCTAACAAAGTCTCGCACTCTAGCTGTAGCTAACCCAACATTGGCATTTGCCTGAACTGGAACCTGCTGATTCTTCTGGTTGGCCACACTCTGAGCCAACATCTGAATGGGGTTCCTAAATTCTCCATTAGAAACTTCCTGATCTGGGACTGGAGGAGCTGCGTTTGCATTACTGGCATTCACATTCATGGTGTTAGCTCTACAAGGAGGCATAATCACTGAAACATAGAACGTCGAGTTAGAATAGAATTAGATCATACCTTATGCACAATAAGAGTAACAAGAAAATGAAGTTTTCATAAATCACTTCGTAGCCTCCCTCTCATTAGATGTAATGCACTACATACCCATGAAAAAGATTCTGCTTAGTGCGGCCTTACAAACACGCTAGTACTCTTAAACGTAATGCTCTAATACCAATTTTGTCATGCACCGAGCTACCCCTGAGACACGGACACGGGACCTAGAATGACAAGTGACCCCATGCTAACCATACTGGCATAATCACGAAAATACTAAAGATAAATTGAGAAATAACACTGTTGCGAAAGCTAATAATAAGTAAATCTAAAATTATGGGGGAATACCTATATACTGAAACTGAATATCAAATCTGAGAGCTTAACACAAAAGAAACATCAAAATCAAATACTAACCTGAATCTAGCTATGTCGGAAAATAGCCTCTAACTGACTAGAAGTGTTGGGACCTACCCCCGCTAAGTCTAGCAAAACATAAACTAAAAGACTGAAATAATGAAAAGATAACATGACTATTGTCCTCGAAGAATGATAACTCACCACGGAAGCTGCTGAACTATTGATAGGGAACCGATTTAAACGTGATCTGGATGCTGAGAACCTTAACCTACATCACGAGAAAATGTAGCGCAGAGTATACATCAGTACGTGAAAGGTACTGAGCATGCATGATAGAGTAAAGCTGAAAAACTCATAATGATCTTAACGGGTCCTGAATGTTATCTTTGGGAATATCACATTCCCTTACTTTCAACTACTCTTATAACTCTTTCAACTCTGCTGGTGCCATTCTATATGGCGGAATAGATATAGGACGAGTATCTGGAAGAATATCTATACCTAAGTCTATCTCTCTTTCAGGAGGGACTCCGTGAAGATCGTTAGGAAAGACTTCTGGAAACTTTCTTACTACTGAAACTGACTGAATATGAGGTATCTCAACACTAAAGTCATTAACTCAGACTAAGTAATAGACAAACCCCTTATAAACTAACTTCCTTGCCTTAAGGTACAAAATTAAACGACCCTTAGGCACTGCTGAACTGCTTTTCCAATCTAAGACTGGCTCATTTGGAAACTGAAACTCTACAACTCAAATTCTACAATCAACTGAGGCATAGCAAGCATGAAGCTAGTCCATACCAAGAATGACATCAAAATATACCATGTATAACTCAACTAGATCAGCCATGGTACTTTTGTGATTGACGGAAATGGGACAATCATGATACACTCTCTATGCTAGAATATAATCACCAACAAATGTAGAAACACTGAATGGCTCACTAAGTTGCTCAGGATTAACATCAAAATTCATAGCAACATATGGAGTTACTAAAGACAAACTCTCTCCTAGGTCTAGCAAAGTATAAATAGTAAAATCAAAGACTTGGATCATACCAGTGACAACATCTGGCGAATCCTCTTGCTCTTGGCGACTGTTGATAGCATAGAAACGGTTTGTTCCTCCGCCAGTACCGAAATTAGCCCATCTAGGTGCAGCTTTTTCTGATCGAGCAACTGAAGAAGAATGGGCTCTGTTCCCCCCATTACCTTTACCTTACATGTTCTCAGGACAGTCCCTCATAAAGTGACTATTTTGACCACACTTGAAATAACCAGTAGAGCCCTCACGACAAATACCTGGGTGGTTCCTACCACACTTAGCGCAAGCAGGAGGCTTACTACCCCTTTGCGCCATACTACCCTGAGAATGGGCAGGCTTAGCTCTGAACTCAGCACTGAACTCATCCCCTGATGTATTAGCCCTCTTATTCTTAAACTCTTCTCTATCATTCATCTTATCCTCCTCAACTTGTTGTACATAGATTATAAGCCTTGCTAGGTCCATATCCCCTATCAGCATAGCTACCTTGCCTTTCTTGCTTGACTGACAAGACAACCCAGCAACAAATAAACTCATCTTGCTCCTCATGTCAGTAACCATCTCCGGAGCATAGTGGGAAAGTTGTGTGAACTTCAGACTGTACTCATGAACTCTCATAGACTCTGGATTAAGGGTGAGAAACTCTCTTATCTTTGCCTCTCGCAACTCACAGGGAAAGAAACGTCCCATGAGAGCACTCTATAACACAACCAAACTCACTATTGCCGCATCCTCAGCCCTATTATTTTTCCATTGGTCGAACCAGATTCTAGCGACACCCTTAATTTGGTATGCAACTTGTTGCACCCTCTCCGCATCAGCAATATGCATCCCATCAAATAACCTTTTTAACTCTTCAATGAAGTTCTCCAAATCCTCAGTGACACTTGAACCTGTGAAGCTTGGTGGGTTCATTCTTAAAAGCTCACGGATCCTTGAAGTATCAGCCACTTCTTGTCTATTACCTCTCTGTCCAACTTGATAGGTCTCAACATGACTTAACATCCGGATAGCTTCACAAAATTCAGCATTGGTGACCTCTCCTTAGGGTTGCACTTCTAGTGAATTAGGTACACCTTGTTCCTCGACATTTCTCTTAGCAGGATAACCTCTGACTGCTCTTCGTGGAGGCATGATTATCTGGAAACACGTGTAAGCACTAATTAAAGGGAAACATTTTAGAGATCAAACTCTAACGCACGAAATGATTATGAAAGAAGTGAAATAGTTCCTAAATGTTGCAGCCTCCTAATTATAGACGTGGTGCGCTTCACACCGATAACTAGGACTCTACAGACACGGCTTCATAGACTCCCTAGGACTCTTGAACTCTGTGCTTTGATACCAAGTTTGGCACCCCCTGAGCCTACACCCGGGACATGGCGGCACTCGAGAACCATTGCTGGCCCCAAGCGAACCTTTAGTCTGGCTTACTTACCCAGCGGAAGACTCTAAGCATTAAGAAAGGAATTCAGATGCTAAAAAACATAACCGTCTCAAACTGAACTCATAATATTTTGAAAATAAACATATAACTTAGTCAAAATGGCAACTCAAATCTGAACATAAGTCAATAACAAAATGATGACGAATGAACTAACATCTAACTGACTATCCATGAAGCCTCTAAAATAACTGAGATGGATGTCGGGACAAGCTCATGACATCCTAATGAACTATCTAATACTGAAAGTAAACAAAAGGGATCCTCCGGAATTCAAAAAGGCTAACCAACATACTCTGAACAACTCACTAGATCAACAATGTGCTTGATGTCGATCCTATTTACCTGCGTCTACATCATAATACGATGCAATCTAACTGGTAGCAGTACATTGAATGTACGAATATGTTGTGAGTTGGAATGATAAACACAACATAGGCTTGAAAGAATCTGAAAGGAACTGAAGAACTTACCAAGCTTAACTCAACTCAACATAACTGAACTCATTTCAATAAAAAGCAATTTAAAAGCAAGTGCAATATAAGGAAAAGTTGTTTAAAAACATGATGTCAACTTTGTGTATTTAGAAATATAATAACAACTCTCTATGAATGCAAAGATACAATATGATCTATGCTTGTATATGAAAAATACAAATATATCTAATGTATATAAAGATACAAAATAATGTTTTGGGAGTTTCTCTAACCGACAACCATCACATAAAAGCTATTGTGATGATACAAGGATCTCCCTCACGCTTCCAGCGCATCCTATACCCTGCCCAAGGTATAGGACCTGAATTACTAAGTGGATCCACTAGTCTATCCGAAAAAGATTCATCTAAAAAGTATGACCCTTTTCTACCCATGATGGCTACATGGTTTTGGGGGCTCATAGTTGTATGAACTCTTCCCCATGTCGGTCCTCAATATTACTCCCAAAATATACTAGCTCTTTATGTTTAAAGCATAATTCTTTCTGTGATTTGAGATAATTGCTCAAAACTTAGCTCAAAGGCTATCTTGGAAATCAAAGTTTCCCCTCTTGCTTAATTATGAAAGCATTTACTCTTTTATGAAAACTAGCTCAAATGCTCGTTGGAAATCAAGGTTTTCCTTTCTTGTTAAAATGTGAAAACATTTTAAACCCTTTGGGAATACATAGTCCCCATATACTTTTGAGTAAATGAACTTCAAGCTTTACTCTTTACTCTTTACTCAACTTGAACTTTAAGTCTTAGAACAAAGTTAAAGATTTGGCAAAAAGAATTTTGAAAAACTTTTAAAAACTTATCTTAACTTGACTCTTGACTTCTCTTGACTTTGATCTTAACTGCTCTTGACTTGACTCTTAACTGATCCTTGAATGGAATTATGGATTCAAGGATTAGGATTTGAGTTTGGAAGGATCTCATGTTGTTTAGGAATGATGTTAGATAGCTAAACATGAGAAAAACCGAAAATCGTTATCTGAGGGTGGGTCCGCCATGCGGATCGAAAAGATTTTAAAATTTAGTTTCAAAAATGACTTTTCAGGCAGAAGACTCTGTGATGGCTCTGCGACGTGAAACGAAAATCCCCAAAACTGGGAACCAGCTCCGCGACGCGCCATTGATGTCGGATTTTGTCCGATGAAATCTCTTCTTCGTTTTTCGTCTCTAAACCCTCTAAACTCCGTAGGTTCTTTCACCCAACATTTAGAATCAATTAAATGGTCAATGTACATCAGATTCTAGTCAAAATTGAACCTAAAATCACATATTAGGATCAAACAACTCCTCAACGAATTCAACGAAAGAAGAATCTAATGAAACTTCAACAGACCCATTCAACAACTCAATTTCTAAGCTTTCAAGAACTTAAATTCGCTGAAATAAATCAAGATTGGCGCGTAGGAAAATTAACCCAATGCTAGGTTATCTCACATACCTTGTAGGGATCACCCCCGAAGAAATCCACAAGCCAAACTCGACGATCTTGACGAATCTTGAACGTTCTTCTCCTTTCTCCTATTTTCTCATCTTCTTTTCTCTTCTCTCAAAGGCCTAACTCTTTTTCCAAAAGCGTAAATTGACCAAGTTCATTTTAGATCCTTAATTAATTCACGAAAACGAATCTAAGTAATTGGATAAGGAAAGGACTGAAATACCCTTCAAAAATCCGGATTGGACATTTCCTTATCTAAACAACCCAACTTCAAATGGGCATAACTCACTCATACAAACTTGGAATTGCACAAACTCAGCGGCGTTGGAAAGATCATTCTAAAATATTTCCAACCATATCTGGATCTACACCTAACTCATCTTGAGCTAGGAGTTATGGTCGTTTGAAGTTGACCAAAAACTCAGTTTTCCTAACTTAAACAATTTTCTAGATTTTTCATTCTTTCCAAAAATGACTATTTCCAGTTCTTAGCTTCTTCCTAGCTATTCGAATTTGCGAGCTGTTACAATGAAGGTGCTCATGGTCTGATGTCTAGGCCTGGTGCCGTGGACCCTTTCATGGTCCGTGAACCCTACCATGGTTCACTGCTTCAGGTATATTTCTGCAAAAAAATTTCTTGGTCTGGTTTTCGAGGTGTTACACTCCCACAATAATATTTTGTATTTTTATATACAAACGTAGTTCATATTGTATCTTTGCATACATACAGAGTTCTTATTGTATTTCTAAATACACAGAGTTGACATCATGTTTTAAACAACTTTTCCTTATATTGCACTTGTTTTTAAACTTCTTTATATTGAAATGATTTTAGTTATGTTGAGTTGAGTTGAACCAAGTAAGTTCTTCAGTTCCTTTCAGATTGTTTTCAAGATTAAGTTGTGTTAAGCATTCAAACTTGCATACTTGTTCATTCAGTGTACTGATTCCAGTTGCCCTACATCATCTTATGATGCAAACGCAGGTAACCAAGATCAGTATCTAGCGCATCGTTGATCCAGTTGAGCTACAGAGTTGTTGGTGAGCCTCCTTGATTTTTGGAGGATCCCATTTTTCATTACTTTATCATTTTAATTCATTAGGATGTTGGGGGTCTTGTCTCGACATCAATCTCAGTTATTGGAGGCTTCATAGATAGACAGTCAATTAGTTCATTTTTCTTTACTTTGTTATTGGCTTATGTTCAGAATTGAGTTGCCACTTTGGCTAAGTTAAATGTTTATTTCTAAAACATTATGAGTTCAATTGGAGATAGTTGAGTTATTTAGCATATGAAGCCTTTTCTTAATGCTTAAAGTCATTCGCTGAGTAAGTAAGCCAGGCCAAGGGTTCGCTTGGGGCCAATAGTATTTCTCGAGTGCTGGCCACGTCGAGGGTGTAGGGTCGAAGAGTGAAAAACTTGGTATCAGAGCATAAACTTCAGAGTCTTAGGGAGTCTATGAAGCCATGTTTGTAGAGTCCTAGTTATCGGTGTGAAGCGCGCCACATCTATAATTAGGAGACTGCAACATTTAGGAAATTCATTCACTCCTTTCATATTCATTTCGTGCGATAGAGTTCATCTCTATATAGTTTCTTTCTAACTCGTGCTTACGGGTAACCGATTATGAGTTGGACTGTTTTGAGTGTGCTTTCATGAGGCGTTTCTTTCCTTGTGAGCTAAGAGAAGCAAAGAGATAGTTGTTGACATGAGGAGTAGGATGAGTTTATTCGTTGTTGGGTTGACTCGTCTGTCAAGTAAGGAAAGTAAGGCAGCCATGCAAATAGGGGACATGAACATAGCAAGGCTGATGATCCATGTGCAACAAGTTGAGGAGGACAAGCTAAGGGATAGAGAATAGTTTAAGAAAAAGATAGTTAAGACATCAGGGAATGAATCTGGGCAGCAAAAGAGTAATGAAAACCGGTCTTCTTTCCAACATAAGCAGAAAAGACCTGTTCCATCATCTGCTAGGGCACATCCACCAAGGAACAAATGTGAGTACAATAGTCAGAATTCCCATAACATCAGAGCTAGACCTGTGCATACACAATGTAGTAAGGTACTAGGGGGTCCTAAGACTCCTTCATGTGCTAAGTGTGGTAGGAGCCACTCAGAGGTGTGTCGTGATGGATCCACTAGTTGTATCAAATGTGGCCAGAACGGTCATTTTATGAGAAAGTGTCCTAAGAGCAGACAGAGTAATGGTAATGGGGACAATAGAGCTAAGTCTTCTTCAGTTGCTCCAGACAGAGCTGCACCTAGAGGGTATACTTCTGGTACTGGCGGAGGAAAAAATAGCTTATATGCTATCAATAGTCACCACAAGCAAAAGGATTCGCTAGATGTTGTCACTGGTATGATCCAAGTCTTTGACTTTATTGTTTATACTTTGCTAGATCCAGGAGCGAGTTTATCCTTTGTAACTCCATATGTTGCTATGAATTTTGATGTTATTCCTGAGCAACTTATTAAACCATTCAGTGTTTCTACACCTGTTGGTGAGTCCATTCTAGCAGAGAGAGTTTATAGTGATTGTCCCATTTCCGTCAATCACAAGAGTACCATGGCTGATTTAATTGAGTTAGACATGGTAGATTTTGATGTCATTCTTGGTATGGACTGGCTTCAT